CCAAACGGCTCTGTACTCCCTAAATAGTGTTCTAGCTATGAGAGATTAGAAATTCCAGCCTCTACAGCCAAACAGTGCATCATTTATTGAGTGTGGATGAGTCTGAATCCCAAATGACTGTTTCTTAGCTGTATTATTCACTGTTGGGCTGCAGGATCCAGTATTTAAACTCCTACCTAGTGCACTATGTAGGGAGGAGGGAGCTGTTTGAGATTCAGCCCCAGCGTGAGAAGAGGGGCCGCTGGACTGGTGCTAAATAAGACTCGCGGTGGTGATTTGGTACCAAAAAGTACTTATAAAACGAAAGTTTCAGCATTAAACAGTGCTGTGATATTATATGTTCATTGTTATACGAGAGCGATGGACGACCGAACATTCTCCTCATTCAGCGGTCCTTGGTTGCTTGGCAACAATACAGCACTCTAAAGGACCTACATTTCTTTGCTGAATACTTATGTCAATTATAATTAATAATAACAAATTACAATAAGCCAACTGAGGCTGTGCATTACTGCGATTTTATCAGAGGGAAGGCAGTTTTACTCCGCGTCGAGTCTTCGTCTGTAAATTATTTGTACACTGTTTATATGTTGCATTTAATACTAAAGAGACGCCAACAGCTGGAACCAGATTCCTTGTGTGTGAACATACTTGGCCAAAAAACTTAATTCTGATTATGAAATTAGATTTGAAATAAATCTAATAATTAATAATAATAAAACTATAATTTAAAAGAGGTGAAAATCAAGAAAAACTTCGCTTCTCTGCCTGATCAGGACTGTGTGGACGTTTCAGAGACGTTGGCGTAGGCCTGGAAACGTAAACAACCCCAAGGTAATCGTGAGTTCTCTTTTGCTTTTATTTTCTGGCAAAAATCAGATCTCTTATTCTGCAGGGTATATTTTGGTTTTTCCATCTGAATTTAAATGACCAAATCATAAGGGAAATTATTCAGTAACTGCATGAAATAAATGTAAATTTTGTAAAAGCTCCCCTCAAATTAACAGAACATGTGTTTTATGATCACACATATTGCTCTATGCTTACAATTTACTGCTGAAAGCCAAAAATCTTAGACGCTCTTTGTATTATTTTATAAAAATAATGTTTACAGAGCAGCTCACTGAAGAGACGCCATCTGTTTATAGTTTATAGCCCAGATTTGTGGAAAAATGGGTCGACTTTCAGTAGAAAAGAAAAATTGTAAGTTCAGCTTCTTTTATTATAAGGGTTTAAAATGACATCACCCATCTATTTGACTGGAAAGAAGACAGTTACAGCCTCATACGACCCCCACCTTTAGAATGTAGCTTATGAAATATGACAGTTATGAAGAATATGACGAAGTGCGTTTTGGACCCACCGGTGGTCTCGAGGAGTTGAAAGGGTTAAATCTGTGTGAAATATCTAATTGCGGGGGTCTGACAGCCTGCAGGTCAAATCATCTAATCACCACTATCACAGTTATAAAATCTATAATCTGGCTTTGCGGCTATACATCTAAGTATTCTTTGCATAGTGAAACAGTTCTTCAGAGTGATGGAGAATGTTCTGTATAGAACCTTTTTGAAAAGGGTTCTATTGTATACAACTTGACATTGTAACAACAGAAGTACCCTTTTTGGTGCTGTACAGAACCATATACAACACATTCTCCATCAATCTGGAGAACCATTTCATGATGCAAAGAACCCTTTAATCATGCAAATAGTTCTCTGAGTGTTCATGGATCTATTTAGAACCATTTTCTTTACTAAAGAACCCTTGAGGAACCATCATTTTAAGAGTGTCGTATGAACAGTGTGTTACAGAAGCCAAGTCATGAAAAAAGGAAAGCATTGATCAACTTCTCATCCTTTCGTATCCTTTAAATGACAATCAGTTTTATAATATTATTAATTTGTGGTTTAAAAGTTAAATCAGGGTCTAAAGTTCCACCAAAATTCCTAAGCAAAACGACCAACTTTTCAGAGGACAGAGGAAGTTTGTGACGCTACAAAATAAAATCGCTCCTGTTCACCCTTGGCGCGTCCCGTTCCCTCCTCCAGTCGCTCGGCGTTCTGCAGTATCAGCAGTCCCAGAGATCTAATCTATCATTTTGCTCCTGAAATTGCGCCCCCCTGTCCCCGACCGCAGGGCACCTTGAGTTCCCCTGCACCCGCGCAACACAGAAAAATGTCAATAATATTTTTCTTCATCCGCAGCGTAAATGTTTGTGTGTCTCCCTTCCATTCAAAATAAACTCCACCGCTGCTGCCTCCACTGCAACACTCCACACCACCTTAACTTTCAGGCTTTTTCCTCCTCTCTGTCCTCAGCTGCTCTTTCCTTAAGCTTTCTCCTCGGCTCCCTCTGATCCCCGTGAAGGACTTTAATTAAATGTCTGATTCAGGCGGTAATTATGAAGGTGGACAGGGATCAGAGCTGGTGGACGGATCCAGCAAGAAAGACATTTTATTCAAGTAGGAGAGGACAACAGTCTTGTTTTTGAGAAAGAAAGTTAAAGGAATTAAAGCACAAGCTGTCCTGAGAGGAACCAAACCAAGTTATTTAAAAGATAACATTTCATTTGAATGAATCTAATTAAAGCCTTAAGTAAAGCACACAACTTTTAAAGTCTTAACAGACTGTACAAGATTGGGAATCTGATTTTTTTGGGCGACTGAAATATTGGGAATCTACAGTAAACGATTGGGGATCACACACTACTCAACTTTTAAGCTGCTGCTGAACCGATCGAGGCTCAATGAACTCGCGCAAACTAACTTAAACTTGCGTGTTCTCCCGTTACTAGGCGACGCAAATAAACAAACTTCTGTGTAACGCATTTCACCGAGAGTATTTACGATGCCATCAAGCTGTCCCAAAAACACAGGAATGTTATGTGCTGTCCGATGGTGTCACAACAGCTCTGGAAAGCTTAAACCCATGCTGGAAAATAAATGCTATGAACACAAAGACAAGCACAGATCAGAATATCAGTGTCCGAGGAAGACGAGGCCAAAGAGCACGGCTAGCGGCACTGAATTTTAAAAATCCCCCCGAAATATTCATGTTTGCTCCTTCTATTTTGTGATAAAACATGATAAATGCATAGGAGATACATTCTGATGAACAATGAAGAATGCACACCTGATCATATTTGAGTTGGCCTATGAAATACAGGGTGTCCCAAAAAAACTGACATAATTTCGTAGTCTAATAACAGCCAATTCTCCCTCAAATGATCTCAAATTTTAACAAAATATTTAAAAACTAACCAAGTTTAATTTTTAATGTTTGTTTTTTTCGAGTTGAAGAACAGCGTTCACTAGAAATGAAAAGGCATTTGATGTGTTAGAAGATGCTCGAACACGGCCAAACAAGTGTGCAGCAGCATTTTCCAGAAAATTCAATAAAAATGCACCAACTGGAAAGCAGATTTGGAAATGGCACCAAAAATCCAAAGAGAAAGGCTGTCTGTGCAGCGCAAAGGGATCCGGATGACCAACAGTATCGGGAGATATTACATTTGTGAAGCTGTGAAATCGTTATAAAATCTACATCCCTCTGAATTTCTTGTTCGAATTTTGATAAATAAATCTTGATTGTTCAACATGAAGCCTATTTAATTGCGTTTGCCAGGACATGCAGTTACTCAGATACTCACATCTCAAATGATGTCGATTTTTTTGGGACACCCTGTACTTTGCTACTGCAGTGCTAAACTAATAAATCGTTATGGCTACTGTGGCAGCATAACCAGTTATAATGGTTCTCGGAGTAAATGCATCTTAGCCAGCTGTGTGTTCTAGTTTCATTTAAAATCCCTAACCTACCTTCCACAAAACAGCAGCGACGTGGCTACAAGATCTGCCCGGACCAGCGATGCAGGACCATCCTGCTGTCTCTACTACACCGTTGTTTTGAACCATAACCCATGCTGAGTAGTCAGGTTTCCCGATTGACTGGCCTGGCTGAACCTCAGCTTTGAGAAATGTGAACTGTTCGCGACTGTAACACAGAACCCTTCCGATTCTATCGCTGTGCAGGTGATTATAAGCTTCTGTGCTTTTATAATTTCTCAGCTCCTCGTCATCAATTTCAGAAAGAGCAGGGTAGCTGATAATGTCAGCATACGTGACATCTGGCCAGAGCTTCATGTCATCAACCCAGACTTGGGACGGGTTCACTGGATGAGGAACAGACTGGGTGACACCATTTACAGTTCTTGTTAGACGTTCTTGTTTATGATGCCACCACGACACAACTGCCATCTTCTTGGATCCAAAAAGCGAAACCTAGCCAATCCGTACACTACTGATCGTCAACAACCAGCGTATACCGGAAGTCGTGCCCATTCCCGTTCCAAAGACGAGCAAAGCGTAATGGTAAATGTTGTTGTCTAGGAAAACCGTGGATTTGCATAAAGTTAAACTTCACTCCGTCTTCTCACTTCGCTAACTCCGCCCACATTCGCATTGCCTTCTGTCACTCAAAATCGGCAGCTGCTGGTGTGAACGCAGGGTAAGTGTCTCAGTGGTTAGCTGAATTATGAAAACTCAGCTATAAAAAATGCCTTGTTTTTAAATCATTTTAAAAGCACCTGGCTGTGGCTTTGGAAATTATTTGCAGTCTAGAGTTTCTCCAGCAGGGAGCGCTATTAGCACGCACGTCACCATAAACCTGCACCAGAAGAAGCTCATGAATGCATTTAACGTTCATTTTAATGACAGTAAAACTAAAGCAGTTCTAAAAAGATGTTGAGTTCCTCAATATTACATATTTAATATTTGGTTTAATTTTGATTAAAACAGTTAATATCATATTTTAAAGAAATCATTTACAACAGAAATAGAACAGAAAGCTGGTCAAAGCTGCAGCGGACAGCCTGTATTCGTTTTTGGGGGCGACAGAATTCATAATCACGATTTTTTAACTAAAACATTTCATGCTAATTATTTTTAGACAGCCTGCGCCTGTGCTGCGTCACTGGTCACATCAGGTCACCCTGTACTCACCATGACGGTCGATCTGGCGTCGTAGGCCACGCGCTTGATCCTCTGGAATATTCCGTCCCCTCCGTAGGCCTGTCCATGCGAACAGAAGGACAAAGAGGCTGGTGTTAGCTTAGCTGGACAGCAGCCTGGACTCCAGAAGCAGCCACCAGCAAAACGGTCCCAAACCAGACACGCCGCGAGGGTCGGTGCCCGACCGTCTCCACGGCAACACGGCCGGCAGCTGTTTATACGGTGGCCTGCTTCTGTTTTGCCAAGTGAGAAATAACAGAGGGAGAACTCCGGAAAAGGAGAAACCATTTTGGTTTTCAGTTTTTGTTTATTTAAATTATGATCTTGTTCAAATCTGGCTTTCCAGTAAGTTACAGGAGAGAAAAACATGCTTTATGTATCCATTTACCATAAACAGAAATCCCAAGCTTCAGTCTACAACAGGATGTCTGCAGGAATCCTCGGACGTCACCGTAGTACTTTTTAAAACTTTGTTAAAGCCGCTTTAAATGTAATTAAAGACTAAATTTGAATATTAAAATCACCATTTGGGGATTTGATTATGTGGCATCGCGAAAAGTCAAGAGAAAAAACATACAGGTCAACAGTTTTACCTACTTAGTTGTGGCAGGTTTTTGTAGATTCTGATGCTACAAGCTTTAAAGGGGAATTCCACCAATTTTTCAAAATTTCTGCATAATGTTGTCTGATATAAACTACTTTTTCTAGAGAAACTGAATTGTTCCCAACAGTGGTGACAAGAACCAGACGCCCGGAGCTTTAAAGCCTTTAAAAGCTACTTCATAAGAAGTAACTGCGTGAAATGGTTATGATTACTGTGCCTGATGATTAAGACACTGATTTACTATAGTTTTTAGATCAGATTTTGGCCTTAAGTGCATTTTTAAATCCACTCATGTTATAGAGGTACATGCAGGGCGTTCTAAGTAAAACGGACCGCAAAGGAAACTATTTTTTTCTGGTTTATCACTGTTTCCCTTTATCCACATTACATATCAAAACAAAAGATATCTGCAGGTTCTCTGGTCGTTTTGAATAGTAAATGTGTTGTGGCTGTATTAGACATAGAGACCCCTGGTTTCCATCAGCACCATTTTAAAGAATTCGGAGCTAATTAAGTTTTTCTACAGTGAACCATTTCACATCAAACCACTCTGAATGATTTTGTTTACAGCTGTACAGATTATACAAATACACACACATCAGTGTTACTGCAGTGCTGAGAATGATCCACCACCCAAATAGTACCTGCTCTGTGAGGGTCCATGGGGGTCCTGACCACTGAGGAACAGGGTAAAAGGGGGCTAACAAAGTATGCAGAGAAACAGATGGACTACAGTCTGTAACTGTAGAACTACAAAGTGCACCTATATAGTAAGTGGAGCTGATAAAATGGACAATGAGCGTAGAAACAAGGAGGTGGTCATAATCTTATGCCTGATCAGGGTGTATATATATATATATATATATATATATATGTATACTCCTCCTGCTAAATTACAAATCTCTGGTCCATCATAGTCCAGCACCAGCCTACATAGCCGAACTCCTCCCCCTTACTGCCCTGCCTGAACACTTAGGTCCTCTGACACAGGATGTCCAGCTGTCCTAAAATTTAGACTGGTCACTGTTGGAGGCGGAGATGTCAGCGTCACGGCCCCCAAACTTTGGAACACATTACTGCAATCTCTCCGTTGCTGTTCCTCACCTGCCTTGGGTTTGTGGAAGGTGCTATGTAAGTTGAACTTGTTATTTATTTATTCATTTTAAATGGGTGGAATTCCCCTTTAAATGGCTTAAAACAGGGGTTACAATCAAACCATAAAATATCGATAAATTTCTTAAAGTCAACCTTAAAAACAAAACAAAACAGAAAAAAAAAATAAAAATGTGATCGATGACTGTTTTTACTTTAACAGCCTGTGGCAACACCCGAGATGTGTTCCTGCTGTAATGCAAATAAGTTTTTTGCACTGAATATAAACACCTAAGAGAACATAGAGAGGCAAAAATGAAGCAATCAGGCTCCAACACAGCTCTGAGACGTTCTGGAGAAAATGAGAGAGCGCAGACAGGTGGCAGGTTAGGGGAACATTAGCGGCGCTGTACTGCCTCGACACCCAAACCTACAAGAGAGTCATGCGATAATGAAGTGAGGTATGGAGCTGCACCGAGCGGCTCGAGGGTGACAGAAAGAAAGGTGAGAGGGCCTGTTAGAACCGGAGCTCTGGAAGAACTGCGACTCCACGATAATGAAAAGTGTCACAGGCTCACAGAACCTGAGCACATCAAACAGAACACGTGGGAGAGAAATTACGGAGTGAAGATGCTTGAAGGACACGGTTTGGACGGAAAATGCACCAGCTTGGGTGCTAGCTAGCTGAAGTGCTGGTGAGGTTCTCACAGTGTTGGGTAACAGTCTGTTAGTGTATATAAACAGAGGAGATACGCTGCAGTTAAATAATAATGCTTAAAGTTACATAAAGCTTCACTCGTTTGGTTTGTGTTACGCCTTGGATCCACTTTGAACTGAATACAGCATAATAATATGAACAAACGTGGAAAAAGAAATTTTTTGATTTACATTAAGTTGAGAATTTCTTAGTACTTTTGCTTTAATGATCTGAGCTGTATGGACAGATCAAATCCACCTGAGAGTCGCCTGAACCTTCACTGGAAGAGGTAAAAAAAATAAATGAACGATAAAGATTTTAAGATTCTAGAAGTTAAATCTTACAAATTTGCCTAAACTTGAATAGTGACCTAGAAATAGTGCAGAATTCTGAATGTCATCTTCACTTTACTACATCAAAACATTTTTTTTTGGTTTAAATTTTCAAACTGTAAGCCTTTAAGTTATTTATTTCCAGGTTTAAATGAAAAAAAAATTTTTTTTCAATGTGGTCTTAGACTTTTCGACTACGCGGTATAGCGTACTCCTTGGATAATGAAAAATAATTCTGTGTAATTACAATACCTAAAGCCCTAAAAGCACCAAACACCCCCTTTAAAGGGATTATCACCCAGGAAAAAAAGGCCTGACAGAAATCTAGGAGAATCAGTGTTTTAGCCACTGACATTAAAACAAAAAGCTGTGAGACTCAAACCTGTCGATGCAGAATGTAAACCGAATGTAATTCATTACATACATAACTAAGATTCGTTGATACATTGATACAGAAAAGCTGTAATAACTCCAGACGTCTAAGGGTTGTGGGGGAGTAAGCTGAGGGAGACGGGTACCTGAGCCGTGCCATCCAGGACGCTCCTGATGAAATGGATCAGCTGCTCCAGACTCTCCACCGGCTCACTGGGCAGGAAGTACTGCTCGTTGGACGTGTTGAGAATGATAATAGACGGCACAGACACCTCGCTGCAGAGGGAACAGGAGGAAGAGCTGCGTCAAGACATGGTTATGCTGCATTTGAGCGGAGTCAGAAACTGGGAAACGCCAATTTCCCCACATGTTGGAGATGCTGACAGTGGTACAGTCGTACAGACAGTCCTCGCAAAATCTGGAAACCATCAGCACAATGTGTACGAGCAGTCAAAGCCGGCCATGGCCTCCAAATCAAGATATAAAGAGAAGGTCAGTTGGTTGGAGGTGTTGATTCATACAAAATCGATAAGTTATCTTGGAGTTCTGATTATACGTTATTGCCTACAATAACATCCAGAGATCAATAATTACTGAAAATACTGCATTGGCGTTCAAATCATATGAGCTAAAAGCACACAAATCACCCGAATCATATAATATTAGGTCTGTGGAAGAATCGAACATCATCGTAATCAGAAAACTGCGTGTGTGTTTGAAGGGGTTAATCAGCGCTAATGTGAGCCCTGCTAACATTCTAGCTAACTGCTAGCTAGCCTGATTATTCTGATTACGTGTTTACGTTTCAGCTGGGCACGGATCGTCGGTTGGTAGGCAACAGACATGACAGCTGATTGTTGACGTTGATCGAGTAGGTTAAGATTTCCTAACCGGAGATAAGATGCTGTAAGACAAGATTAGATTCCTAAATTAAGATCGGATTTGATTCTGTAATCAAAAAATTGTGAAAAATCCTTTCTTGACCTGTCAGATCTTAACTTAATACAAAAAGAGAGGAGGTTTCTGTAATACGGCCTCTGGTATAGACAACCTTCCGATGAGCACCTGAACGCAGCATTAACATTTCCACTAAAAAGTTCCCAGCGCTCACAGCCTTACAGCAGAAATATTCAGCGTTTCCTCGAGCACAGTGATGTGTTTAATAATCATTTTCTTTTGACGGTTTTCCTCCTACATTCCAGTCAAAATCATCAGTGCTGAACATCTTCAGATCGCAGAGGACGAGGATACCAGAAGGCTCGAGCTGGAATGAAGTGCACTACTGTACTTTCAACAGCAATATTAACAATATCAATCGGACAGATGATTAGTCTTCACCAACATTTCAAATCAATATCTGATGATTTATTGGGCTCTGGAAGAGCAGATCGTTTGTGACGCTGGTCTAAAACTGTATTATTTTTACTGCATTTTTAACCCTATATGTACAAATATAACATTTCGCTGTAAATGCTAATCCATCATCATCATTATCATCAACAAGAAGTGCTAAATCCAGATAGGTAACAGAGAATCCTAGATGACCCTGTCCCCCCCCAAGACGTCTCTCAGCTCATTCTGGGGGACCCTGAGCCGCTCCCAGGCCAACTTGGAGACATAATTCCTCCAGCGGGTCCTAGGACGACCCCTGGGTCTCATCCCAGTAGGCCATGCCTGGTAAACCCCCACCAGGAGGCGTCCAGGGGGCATCCAGATCAGGCGCCCGAACCACCTCAACTGCCTCCCCTCAGTGTGGAGGAGTAGCATCTCTACTCTGAGCTCCTCCTCAATGACTGAGCTCCTCACCCTGTCAGTAGAGTGGAGCCCACCACCCTGCAAAGAGGCTCATTTCCACCACTTGTGTTCACAATTTAATTCTTTTGGTCATTACCCAAAGCTCAGGACCACAGGTGAGGGTTGAGATGTGGACTGACTGGTAAACAGAGAGCTTTTGCTCCTCTTCACCACTACAGTCTGGTACAGCGACCGCATCACTGCTTATGCCTGTCCCAGCCTGCAGCCGATCTCACCGTCCCTCTTCACATCACTCGTCAACAAGACCCCGAGTTACCTTAACTCCTCCACCTGGGGCAGGACCTCTCCCCTCACCTGGAGTGGGCATGCCATCCTTTTCCGGGCCAAGTGGATTAAAATTCTACATTTTACAGACGTGTATGGATCAGCATTGGCAGTAATGTAGATAAATAAATATGGGACACCGTCACTGACCCACTATCATATCGGTGCATCCCTAATAAATAAGTACGTCAGTATTTGTAGCGCATGTTAGATCAATCCTCTCTCACTGTACAAATGCAGTTCTGCAGTTTTACAGTTTGGCTGTCTCTGGAAGTCAACAGGGCAGCTCAGATTCGTCCTGATGGAAGAAAAACAGCAGCAATTTTAAATCTCAGCTCCATCTTTATGTAAAAGGTGTGCCTGGCCGGGTCACAGCGGGCTCCTCCACTCGCTTCCGCACTGACCTTTACAAACGATCGCTGACAAGCACCACAGCACCATCACTCAGTGCACGGACACACACACACACACACACACACACACATCACTCAGTGCACGGACACACACACACACACACACACACACACACACACACACACACACACACGATGCATAACACTGCATTCACACCGCTTCAGCACGTCAATGCAATGCAGCGTATCCCATTCATTTTCTATTGGAAGTGGCGGTTCAGTCAGACGCAGCCACATGGTGCATGATGGGTCCGGCAGATTTGGGGGTCGCGGTGCGTCAAACAGTTGAGTGAAGCTGAACTTTATGCCAACACAGTGCGTTCGTGTCAGAAGCTCATGGTATGAAACATCAGTTCTGCTTTTCAAACTCTGTCAAAACTTTTCCAACATTTTCAAATAAAGCCATTTTATTTACTGTCCAGAACCACCAGTGAACCTACATGAGTCTTCTGAGTCTATATGGAATGTTGATGATGGAAAATAGTGGAAAATCTGGAATAATAAGTTTTCTTTGGGGACTATTTTGCCCCACAGCGCCCTGCATGTATCCCTCCACCATGAATGGAGTTTAAGTTCTCAAAACTATCATAAAACAGTGTCTCAGTCATCAGGCAGTCAATTCATAACCATTTCATGTAGGAACTTTCTGGACGTGTGGTTCTGATCACCACCACATCTCAACCATTTAATTATGCAGAATTTTTTAAAAACACTGGTTCTGCTTTTTAAATGTTTCTGCGTGACAAACACTGTTTGCCTCCAAAAATTTGGAATCTGAGAAGGATGATGACAATTATTGTGACTTAATATATCACAACAATAATATATATATTTTATCATATTGCCCAGCCCTAGCAGACGGGGGTTTTACGCTATCTGCAGACACCGAGGTCATGGCCTCTCTTAAATGGCCCCAGACAGACGCTCGCTGTCCGCTGACTCTCTGGCTGAATTTTAGTAATGCACAGCGTTCTGTATGAAAGCGCTCAGACAGTCAGACAGTCGGCGTGTCCTGCGTCTGCCAGCTCAGACAGAGTGAACAAGATGCTAAAAGCTCCTTCTTTGTCAGAAACACGAAACCACGACGGGAGCAGATGAGTCTCCTGCAAACACAGCCTCACCTACACTCCACACGCTGCGTACGTCCACACGCTTTACCGAACACAGCACGCCTCGTCAGGGAGGAGGAAGTAGAGCAGAAGCAGCTGAGGATGTGTAAGGAGAGTCGATTCAGTTCAACGGTACAATGGTATTTAACAGCGGCAGGAACTGACCACTCTGACTGGAGACAAAAAAAAGGGATGCACAATATATAGAATTAATGGATCAACAACCGATTTTGCTTCACTGGAGCTAATAAAGTCATTTAATCTGCATTTTAAGCGACGTATTTTATTTTTCTCCTTGACGTCCACTTGTAGCATTTGTGTGGCTTTACATACCAAACATGGTGCATTAATTACTGTAAGACCATTTATCCAGTACTTCAGTGTGAATGGGCGGGGCTAAACTGCTGTCGCCTGAACAGGCAGATATACAGTGGTGTGAAAAAGTGTTTGCCTCCTTCCTGATTTCTTATTCTTTTGCATGTTTGTCACACTTAAATCTTTCAGATCACCAAACAAATTTAAATATTAGACAAAGATAAAACAAGTAAACACAAAATGCAGTTTATAAATGAAGGTCTTTATTATTAAGGGAAAAAGAAATCCAAACCTACAGGGCCCTGTGTGAAAAAGTGAGTGCCCGCCCATTAAAACATAAATTAACTGTGGTTTATCACATCTTTGGAAAGCTGAGTTCAATTTCCCTAGCCACACCCAGGCCTGATTACTGCCACACCTGTTCTCAATCAAGAAATCACTTAAACAGGACGTGCCTGACAAAGTGAAGTAGACCAAAAGATCCTCAAAAGCTAGACATCATGCTGTGATCCAAAGAAATTCAGGAACAAATGAGAAACAAAGGAATTGAGATCTGTCAGTCTGGAAAAGGTTAGAAAGCCATTTCTAAAGCTTTGGGACTCCAGAGAACCACAGTGAGAGCCATTATCCACAAATGGAGAAAACATGGAACAGCGGTGAATCTTCCCAGGAGTGGCCGGCCGACCAAAATTACCCCAAGAGCGCAGCGACGACTCATCCAAGGGGTCACAAAAGACGCCACAACAACATCCAAAGAACTGCCTCAGTTAAGGTCAGTGTTCATGGCTCCACCATAAGAAAGAGACTGGGCAAAAATGGCCTGCATGGCAGAGTTCCAAGACAAAAACCACTGCTGAGCAAAAAGAACATTAAGGCTCGTCTCAGTTTTGCCAGAAAACATCTTGATGATCCCCAAGACTTTTGGGAGAATACTCTGTGGACTGACGAGACAAAAGGTGAACTTTTTGGAAGGCGTATGTCCCGTTACATCTGGCGTAGAAGTAACACAGCATTTCAGAAAAGGAACATCATACCAACAGTAAAATATGGTGGTGGTAGTGTGATGGTCTGGGGCTGTTTTGCTGCTTCAGGACCTGGAAGACTTGCTGTGGTAAATAGAACCATGAATTCTGCTGTCTACCAAAAAATCCTGAAGGAGAATGTCTGGCCATCTGTTTGTGACCTCAAGCTGAAGCACACTTGGGTTCTGCAGCAGGACAATGATCCAAAACACACCAGTCCAAAAGTCCACCTCTGAATGGCTTAAGAAAAACAAAAAGACTTTGGAGTGGCCGAGTCAAAGTCCTGACCTGAATCCGATTGAGATGCTGTGGCACGACCTTCAAACCCTCCAATGTGG